CTTCATCTATGAGGAGCAAAGGTAGACAGAGAGATTCTGCCTACCCTGACCATTGAGGAACGAGGAAACTCATCCCTCAGAGATGGAAAATTAATTATTCAGGGCAAAAAGTCAGGGCAGATCTGCCAGTTGTCCCTAATATCTGTTATCACTCTCTTCCTTACAAACAGAATCCTAAATTTCAGTATTTACATCCTAAACAGAATAAAGGTGACATTTGTTAGCCTCCATGTGGCCAGTGGAATTTAGGGGAAGTGTTGTGATTGTGCTCTAGGAAGCATCTTTAAAGGGAAGAGGTAGGTCCTGGAGAACCTACCTGGGTCAAGATGGCTTCTTGAGCTCCACCTTTCTAGCAGCCCACCAGCAGAAACAAGAACTACTGGAAGTAGTTTTCTGTCTTGTATCATCTACATATGAAAGTGAAATAGGGAATAGATCTTATTGTTCCCCTGAGATTTATGTTTATGTATTTATGTATTTAAGAGATGGGGTCTCACTGTTTCGCTCAGGCTGGAGTGCAGTGGTGCCATCTCAGCTCGCTGCAACCTCGACCTCCTGGGCTCAAGGGATCTTCTCACCTCAGCCTCCTGAGTAGCTGGGACCACAGGTGGTTTTGACTGCAAGTGACAGAAACTACTAGAAGTAGTTCCCTGTTTCTGCTGGTGGGCTGCTAGCATGAAAGGTGGAGCTCAAGAAGCTGTCTTGACCCATGAGGTCAGGGACAAGTGCTGAGAATAGCAGGCCAGATAGAAGGATCTGGGGCCCTGATGACCTTTGGGAGCTCCCCTGGTGCCCCCATGCTATCTTATTTAGAATAATTTTTCTAGGAGATGAAGAAATACATTTCCATATTATTTAAGACAATGAATTTTCAGTTTCTGTCACTTGTAGCCAAAGCTAAAACTAATTCTTACAAGTAGACAGTTGGTGATGTGTTTAGAAGGAATAGTTTGAGAAATAGGCTAGATTAGGGGGATCTTTGATTTGTGTGGAAGAAAGGATCAAGTAATCTCGGCAGAGAAGATCTCTTGTCTAAAGTTCAGAGATAGTTTCTGGAATCCTAAGATCTCAAATAGGGATCTCTATTAGCCAGGCCTCGTGGTATGCACCTGCAGTTCCAACTACTGGGGAGGCTGAGGTGGGAAGATCACTTGAGCCCACCAGTTCAAGGCAGCGGTGAGCAATGATCATGCCACTGCACTCTAGCCTGGGCAGCAGAGCGAGACCTCAACTTTAAAATGAAGAAGAAAATAAAAGTTCTCTGTTTTTATTGACTGAAAAATGGAATAAATACTTGTTTGGGGAAGTCACTGCCCATAAGGAACTGCTTGGGTAGCATTAACCCCCATGCCTCGCCAAAGTTATTAAGCAATAATTGAAAGTCTGTCTAGGCTATGGTGGGGAGAGGAGGCTTACAGCACAGCTGGGTATGAAATGGCTTCTTCTGATGTTGAAGGCAGGCATAAGAGCTCTTTAAGAAGTGAAAGGAGAGGGTGGGTGGAAATACTCCAAGTAATAAAGTCACCCACAGCCCATTGCATTATTGACAAATATTCATTTATCCTAATTTATTAACCAGCCATTATGTTCAAGGAAAAGGAGGATTGAAAGATGATCAGACATAGACTCTGTTTTTAAGTAGCACATTAGGTCTAGTAGGAAGGTAAGATGATGCTTAGCTGTTAACATGAAGTTTGGATAAGTTATGGGTCTACAGAGGGAGAAGAGGTCCCTACCAGGCGTGTTTTGTGCAGCGGGTGGCCTCTGCGGTCTTGCAGGATGGGAGAGAGTCAGACGTGCAGGACTGTTGGGAACAGAAATGGTAAGGTGCCCCTGTCCTTGCAGCGTGAAGACTAACCACCCCCTCCCAGGAATATGGATAGTAGAGGTGTTGGCTGTAGGCAAGAGTGCATTCTGTAGGAAATCCAGGTGGTTTGACGGCTGTTTTTTTTCTTTTTTCTTTGCTGAGCAAGTTAAGCCTCGACAGAGGGATGTTTTAATCATTTAAATCTAAAGGATTTGAGTTGGTACTGCAACTGCTTAGGTCAGTTCCTTGAGTGCCTTGGAGTTGAAGGCTCAAAAGCTCAACTGAGAATGTTCAGCCAGCTGTGGCCACACCCTGGCAGAGGACTTACAAGTCGTAGGTAGGTGGTGTCAAGCAGACAAGGGGAGAGCTTGGACTGGCATACAGCTTCTGGTGTATCCACTTCCTCTGAGCTCCATGATTCTATTTCCTGAGGCCAGAAGAATGTCATGGTGCAAGAGGTCGCTCTAAGCTTAGTGACATGGAAAACATCGAAAGCAAGTGAGAGTGAGTGGCAGTGCAGTAGGCTGGTGAGCATCAGAAACTGGCACTCAAGCTCTCAGGGATATTGGAGTCAAACTATAAGGAGGGCCGTGTCCCGCTGGCTTCATGGTAAATAGATGTGTTGACCAGTGGAGGCGTGGTTTTCCATTATTCCAGTTTTTCTCTTCCTTTCCTTTGAGGACAACCCAGCGTAGACCCGCGATGGTTCGCTACCTCCGTGACCACAATGCACATTTAAATACCAAGGTCGTAACCATGCCAGGAGGAGCAGGAGTTTTCTTTGGTTTTAATTTATGAGTAAATTAGAGGCAGAGATAGGGGGTGGGGGTAATCAGTAAGGAAAGCAGAAATATTTTTGCTTCCCTTTGCAAGAATAATGAAAGGCAAAAACAAAAACAAAACAAAACAAACCACAAGACCGTAATTTGTGGGATATTTGCTGCGATAGAGAAGAGCATGTCTGGGGTGGGAGGGTGAGGGAACATTTCACTGTCCTTTGAGACCTTTGCCTGGAAACAGGAAGTTTGTTCGGCCCACTTTACCTGCTCAGGCCATTTGCTATCTACCTCCAGGCACAATCTGCTGTTTGTAATATCACAGTCAGTTGCTGTGGAGACAGTGACGTGAGCACATCAGCCTTCTGGCTGTAGGAAGGGAACAGTCTGCTGAGAGGGGGCCCCAGGTACAAATAAATGCATTCCAAAGCAACAGGTGAGCTTCAGAGAAGCCAGCTCTCTGGTTTCTTCTGAAATGTTTCTAGCATTAAACAAACATTGGAGGAAACACAAACATCGGTCTGGAAGCGAAGCCTAGAGCTCATGAATTCCAGGGCTGGTTGTGGCCCCTGCCTCTGATTTCCTGTGTGGGCTGGGACCATTGGCTTCTCCTCTCTGTGTCTTAGGTGAGCTGGCTCTCCTTCCTGGCTCCTCTCGTTAACCCAGGCTGCGGGGTGTGATCAGGAGGGCAGATGCAATTGCAAAGTAGGAGGAAGTGTCTCATTCCATGGTGGCACCAGGCAGAAGTGGGCAGAAATGTTTACCCTGCCAGGCCTTATAAAATCATCTTTCTCGGGAAACCACCATGTATTAACCCCTTCTCTTTTCCAGTCACTCCGCTACATTAATGCAGGAGAATGCTCAGATGACATGATATCTCTTAGGACGATCTGTATCTTAAGGGCAAATTCAGCCTTTGCAGGAGAATTTCACAGGTGAAATCATTCCTTGAACCTGTGCATTTGGTTTCACTATGTTTTCACGTGTTTCTAGATAGCTCGGTTCACCTAATGTACAACAGGAAATGCCCTGTTAGCTTACTCTGGGATTAATGCAGAGATTCAGCGTTTCCTGCAAGCGCAAATCATTGACAACCTATTCTAAATTACCACCCTCTTCTTGGTACATACAGCTTGATATACCAACATTAATATTTTGCTTTTTATTGACAGTCAAATATGCATCTAGCCTGTGCTCACCTTTAATTGTCAAGCACTAGCATTGCTTTGCACGTAATAGGTGTTCAATGGCTATTAATGACTCAATGAATTAATTAATGTTACAATTCAGAAGCTGGTTGCAACACTATATATACACATGTGCCTGCCATCATCCTAACATTTGAGAGCTAGGAGGGACCTTAGAATCCTTTGCTTTAGCACCTTATTCAACACAAGGTGAACCTGAGGCTCAGGGAGAAGGGACTTGCCCTAAGCTACAACTGAAAGCACAGTCAGGACGGGACTCTGAGATCACTCAGTTTGTTGATTTTTCTTTCATTCCTTTCTGCACCCCTTTCCAGCCCCCACACCCAACCCTTCCCTTTTCCTCATGCTCCGTTGGAGAGAGGCCAAGCAACATTCCTGAAATCATGGGGAGCTCTGCCAGGCGCCTCAGCCTGCACACAGACAGCTCTGCTCTGCCTTTCCCTAGGAGCAGGATTCCATGAGGCTCTCCAAAGGGGCTGGAGGCCCATGGTGGCAGCTGGGTCCTTCCTTTACCCAACACTACTCACCCTCGCTGGGACTCACCCTCACCGGATGATGTACCAGCGATAGAACTTCGGCCAAACCACTTCATTTTCCTAGGTCTGTTTCCTTGTCTGTAAAAGAACAGTAATAAATCCTGCTCTGTATGTATTCTAGATGGTTGGGGATCAAGCAAGGAAAGATGTGTGTGAAAACTTTAAGAAATGTAATACAGCAAGGTATTGACAATAAAATAATAATTACTATTTTCAGTAATTTCTTGCCTGGGAGGAGTGATATACCCAGTCAACTGTGTCTCACAATGTCTCTAAAATATCTTCAGGTCAGAGATTTGTACCAGCCACGGACAGTGGCATCGACTGCACCTACATTTATAGTGGCTTCCTGCTGCAGGCTACCACCTTTCCACCTCTTCTCGGTCACCAATTATCCAGTGCTCTCAGCAATAATCCTATAGGCTCCCAATAAGACCCATCTAACACCAGGGAGAGGAGAGGTATCTTCATTACTGGGGCGGAGGAGGGCAGTAGATGACACTTGTTTTGTACCCTCTACGTCTTTGCATGATTTCTTTCAGGCTCAACATATGTAGGGCTGTAGTTATTTGCTGTGTTGGAGTAAAATGAACCCTAAACACCAAACAGCCCCTGACCTGTACCTCTGAAAAGCAAGACTGATGTCTTCTCCTTTTTCTGCTCTTCCTTTCAGCTCTGTAACAGCACAGACTCACAGCTAGTGAGCACCTTCCCACCTGCAGTGCTTGGCAGCGATTTGGTGTCTGTGAGGACCTCCCACTCTGGAAGCCTTTCCCAGATCCTCCAAACTGAACTTTCTGTCATCGCTATGTGAAACATTGAAATCTTGTTAATTTCCAAAAGCATCCTATACTCATGCATTAGAAATAGAAAGGATGGACCCGGGAGAACTGACTCTGACATAAGCGAGTTGTATAAATGTGGTGAGGTCACCTAACCTGTGTTTGCAACAGTTTCTCTTCACAGTGGGGAGGACCATGCCCTGGCCTACATCACCATCCAGCCTGAGATTTTAGTGAGGCGCTGGGCATGGAAGCACTTTGCAAGGAGTTACACTAATGTAGTGAATGATCAGTGTTTGAATACTGCAGGGATCCTCCCTTTCCTTCCGCCCCCCTTTGTGCCCTCTTTACATTCCATTCTACACTCTGCCCCCTCAGGCCCAATCTGACTTTGCATACACCTGACTTTCTGGAACTCATTTTGTCATAGGGGACCACCAGTTGCATTCTGCTGGACACCATGTGGCTCCTCAATCTGTTGACATGTGCCCTTCAAGCACACGGAGGCACTCAGCATGGGCACTCAGCAGTCCATGTGGGCTCTGCTCACACAGCATCTGGTTTGGAAGTGCTGAATTAGTGAATTTAATTCTCCTGTGCATCTGATGAAATAACAGAAGTCCAGAAGAACTCCCCCAAGGTCTTCACCCAGAAGGGTGAAGGACTTCCCCAAGGTCTGTGGAGCATCTGTTTACTACTCTGGAGCAGAAAGTCTTATTTCCCAGTGTTTTCGATGAAAGGAATTCAGGGCAACAACATCTGGTGCTGGTTTGAATGGGGTAAGTTGGGTACAAGGGGACTGCAGGGGGATGAGAAATCCTGCATGTCAAGAATCGGCACAGGTAATTTTCAGGCTGACTTGTTTCTCACTCACTGAGCCACACTGACTTGACAGCTGCTTCTCCGTACCCTGAAATATTTGAGCAGCCTGCAGTCATGGTCCCGTGCTTGTCCCTGCCTGCTTTTGCCACTCGGAAAGGACTCAGGTCTTGCAGAGGCTACCCCTGATTCCCATAATTAGATGTGGACCCTGTGCAGGAAGACAGAGGGGTGGGTTAGAGGCCCTGAGAGGGAAGAAGGAAGGAGGTTGGTATCTTCTTTTCCCTGAAAACAGTCCCCACAGTTTCTGAATGTTATTGAGAAGCTATTGATGTAGAATTCAAGCTCATTTCAGCACACAGTGGGTTTGCCAAGTTGGCCAAGGGACTTTGTGGTCAATGATTATGACCTCAACTTTCCATCACTGAAGTATATGTACAGGTCCTTCTATTCTGATGAAACAATAGGAAGAAACTAATTTTGGAGAGAAAGAATAGAGAAGGGTGTGGGTGTGTCAGTGTGTGCACGTGCTCTTTTATTAATTGATAATACATTAACCTTTTGTTTTAATCAAACACATACACAGACACACAGACACACACACACACACACACATTCTCACGCTCTCTTTTATTAATTGATAAAGGCATCACTGCCCTCTACTGGCAACAATATCATCCTTTCCAGTGTTAGAAATGCCTGGATGGAGACTTCATTGCTTCAGATAAAAAAAAAAAATTTGAATACTTACTGCAAATACTTTTTTAAACAATTTGCAAATCAAGTGCATTTCATAGGTTTTAGACATTTATTTATCCATCCAACAAGTACTAACTGAAATGAGTAAGATGTGTGTGTCCCTGGTCTCAAGAAGTTATCTGCCTACAAAGTGGACAGGAACGCTAATTTAATGAGTACAATTGATTTCCCATGTCCAGGGTTAATACCCAAGTCACAGGCCCCCTGAACCACAGAGCACAGCTTCTGACCCACTGCCCTATGCCCTTGATTGGGATGCTCAGCAACACAGCTAGAGACCTCTTTCTCACTGTCAAGGAACATCTGCACTGGAATAACTTTCATGGAATCGTGGGTCCAGAAGGTCAGTCAAAATTCACATAAATCAGAGTGTGAGATTCCAAGGCCAGATGGGAAACCCATTCTCACAAGTCTTCAAGACTACTGTAATCCTTCAGGCTGGAGAAGCCTGTTTCTTCCAGCTCTCGCCTCGGGCACACATCCTTTGGATTCTTGGAAACCATGATGAAGCATCCCCCTTTGCCTAGCCCCCTTCATATTATTTTCAAGTTTGTTCATACTGGGGTTATTTCAGGCAATTTAAACAGGCATGATTCCATTCAAACCTTCTGATCCTGGGTTTTCTTCTTGTGCTATTCTTTAATCAAATTAGGCAAAGAACGAATTCTTTCTCCACTCCCAACATTGTTTTGGACTAGGTAATGCAATTCACATGGTTCAAAAATCTAAACAATAAAGAAGTTTAAAGTTAATGTCAATCTTCCATGTCAGCCATCTCTACCCTTTTCCCTCTCCCTTCTGCCACAGATTATCGTTGTTAAAATGCTCTATGTATTCTCTTGATATTTCTTTTTTTTTCTTTTTTGAGACGGCATCTCATTCTGTTGCCCAGATTGGAGTGCAGTGGCACATGATCTTGGCTCACTGCAACCTCTGTCCACCAGGGTTCGAACGATTCTTCTGTCTCAGCCTCCCGAATAGCTGGGATTACAGGCGCTTGCTACTGTGCCCGGTGAATTTTTGTATTTTTAGTAGAGACAGTGTTTCACCATCTTGGCCAGACTAGTCTTGAACTCCTGACCTCGTGATCCACCCGCTTCGGCCTCTCAAAGTGCTGGGATTACAGGTGTGAGCCACCGCACCCAGCCTCTTTCAGTATTTCTTTATGCAAATATGAACACACATAAATAGACATTATTGTTGTTCTTCCCCTTTAGGCAAAAAGGAAGCATGCTATATACACCATTTTGAGCCTTTCCCCCACCACAGAGCAGTATCCATTGGATAATTGTCCATTTCTAACTATCTATCTACTTTTTTGAGATGGAGTCTTGCTCTGTCATCCAGGCCGGAGTGCAGGGGTGTGCTCTTGGCTCACTGCAACCTCTGCCACCCCGGTTTTAGTGATTCTCCTGCCTCAGCCTCTGGAGTAGCTGGGATTACAGGCATGCACCACCATGCTCGGCTAATTTTTGTATTTATTTATTTTTTGAGACAGAGTTTCCCTTTTGTTGCCCTTTTTGTATTTTTTAATAGAAACCAGGTTTCACCATATTGGCCAGGCTGGTCTCAAACTCCTGACCTTGTGATCTGCCTTCTTCGACCTTCCAAAGCTCTGGGATTATAGGCATGAGCCACCATACCCAGCCTTCCATATCAGTATATTTTTTAAGTTCCTCATTCTTTTTATAGCTGTTAATATTCCATCACATGATAATATTGTGGTTTACTTAACCAGCCTTCTATGGATAAAAACTCGGTTTGTTTAGAATAAGTACTCTTGAACTTATATTAGTAAAATATTTTTGATTTCTTCTTCTCAGTCTTAGCTACCTTCTAATACTATTGAAAATAGTGTTATGGGGCTGGGTGCAGTGGCTCACGCCTGTAATCCCAGTACTTTGGGAGGCCAAGGAGGGAGAATTGCTTGAGTCCAGGAGTTTGGCACCACCCTGGGTAGTATAGTAGGACCCTGTCTCTACTAAAAAATTAGCTAAGTGTGTTTATGCCTGCCTGTAGTCCCAGCTACTCAGGAGGCTGAGGTGGGAGGATCACTTGAGCCTGGGAAGTGGAGGTGGCAGTGAGCTGAGATTGTAGCACTATACTCCAGCCTAGGTGACAGAGCAAGACCCTATATTAAAAAAAATGTTTTTTTAAATAGTGTTACTGAACCATTGGAGGTTTATCTGCCTGATACCTACCACAGCCTTTCTTGGGGACTGACTCTTGAGGGTCAGCTGCACACAAAAGAGCTCTGAATGCCCTCAGGACAGCAGAGTGCAGGATGGAGGGCAGGGACAGATATTGGATCTTAGAACAAGATCTGTTCAGACTCAGGGAACTGACGTGACCAGAAGACCTTTTACTCCAGAACTTCTCAGCAAGGAATGATGAGACTTTCTGGGAAGATGGATCAAAACAATGACCCTGACATTAAACTAGAAATGACCTGCATGGCCGGGCGCAGTGGCTCACACCTGTAATCCCAGCACTTTGGGAGGATGAGGCGGGCGGATCACAAGGTCAAGAGATCGAGACCATCCTGGTCAACATGGTGAAACCCTGTCTCTACTAAAAATACAAAAATGAGCTGGGAGTGGTTGCGTGTGCCTGTAGTCCCAGCTACTCGGGAGGCTGAGAAAGGAGAATTGCTTGAACCCGGGAGACGGAGACTACAGTGAGCCGAGATCGCGCCACTGCACTCCAGCCTGGCAACAGAGCGAGACTCCATCTCAAAAAAAAAAAAAGAAAAAGAAAAAGAAAAAGAAATTACCTGCATGTAATTGAAGCTGCATCACTCTTAGATGGGCACACAAACCTGAGAAGTGAAGGACTGAAAGAAATGAAGACTGAAAGAGACATCAGGCAGTGGGCTTCAGAGAAATGTAATAGACCCACATGTTCCTTTCCAAAGCTGTGCCATACCATTCCAGCCCTGTCCTCATCCTCTGTACACAATGTCAAGAAAGCTAGGTGATTCCCTCAATTTCGAGGACCAAGGCAGTTATATCGGTGGTTTGCAGGCAATGCAGGAAACACCGGAGGTAGACTAACTTTTTAAAGAAGTTGTGGTGATTGGCGGACTCAGCTTGCACCTGTGCATTTCTTGCCATAAGCAATCTCCAGCCTCCCCAGGCAAGAGCAAAACAAGATGGTCAAAGAAGTGATGGCCTCCACTGGAACTGTGCCACATCTACAGTCACAAAAGACCGTGTTTCAAGTTATCGATTTCTGTGTAGCAAACTCCTCCAAAACTTAGTGGCTTAAAATGACAATAATTTGTGATTTTTCGTGATTTTCTGGGCCAGGAATTCGGGCAGGACTCAGCGAGTCAGTTCTGATCATAACCTGTTTATCTGGGGTCATTCACTTGCCTGCATTACACTAGTGCGTGGGCTGGGCTGGGCTGGGCTGAAAATCCAAGAAGATTTTATTCATGTGTCTGATGCCTTGGTGCTCCTCCATGAGGTCTCTCCACGTGGCCACTGTGGGTTTCCTCACAGCATTGTGGGCTTAAGCAAGCTGGACTCCTCACATCCCAGCTGGCTTCCAAAGAAAGAGGAAGCAGAAGCTACCAATCCACTGAAGACCTGGGCATGGAAGTTCCAAAAGTTACTTTTGCCAAATTCTATGGGTCCAAGCAAGTCACAGGCCAGCTCAGAATCAGAGGAGAGGAAATAGACCCTGTCTCCTTATCTGAATTAGAGAAGCATGTACAAGTACAGGGAGGCGAAGATTTATAGGGATGCCACCTTTGGAGACTTGCCACCACAAATGGTGCACTGACAACTGTGGGTGGAAGATGCCTGCAGGATTGGGAACATTGTCGGCAGTCCCATGACCTGTCGGTGTCCCTGTAATTGGGTTTGGATTTGCATATTGGTGATTGAAGTGTTCAGAAAGCTTTTTCTCTCCCCCAGAAGAACTGCTCATTTTAATGATCACACAAAGGCAAGGGAAGCCCTGAGCATGCTGCAGGCTGTAGCAAGAGAGGGAGGGACCCTCGTTAGAAGGAGAACTGGCTGGCTTTGGACATTTGGGTGGAGCTAGTACGGATCTAGGGACACATATCCTCTCAGAGGTGTGCCAACCTGCCTTGGAGACCAAGCTCAGAAGTTGCAGTTTTTCCTCATCCATGGTGGGCATTCCTATTAGTCCCAACACTCTCCTGTGGTGGACCCAGAGTTGGACTTGGAACCTGAGTAGACAATGTAAAGGGATCCAGACTGTCCCATGCAATGCAGTCTATTTACGGATATAGGATATCCACTCTAAAAGACAGCAAGGTGGCACTGAAGTCTGGTGCCGAGAGAGAAGTCAGTAACTACGCCTGTGACCAACAGAGGCCGGGCATGCTCTCCTTCACCTAGGTGTGCGCTCAGAGCAAGAGAGAATACAGGAGAGGGAGAGAAAGAAAGGTACCCTCTTGACAGGTACTTTCCTGGCTATCACAGAAAGAACAAGGCTTTTGTGGTTTGTTGGGAACCAAGCTCAGGTGTCTTTGGTGGCAGAGCCATGTGGACCCAGCAAGCGGAAGAGAAAAGAGTCCTGAACAGGAAAGGTGAGACCTGTGTTCTATTTCAACCTTTACTCTCACTGTTAAGAGGACTGACCATTTAACAAGGGGGAGCTGGTGAGATGACTGGACACTTTGAAGTGATACTGGGTCTCAAGAGTTCTCAAGTTCATTATTTGTGAAGAAACGGAGCTTGTTTCTATGATCTTTCTCTGCTCTGAAATACTACAGTTGTATAAGTAGATGCACTTGGGAGGTGTTTCCTGGATCAACAGATGGAGGACTTTTCAAAGCCGG